GGTTTAGGGTTTAGGGTTTTCCAGCCCCCAGCCAGAATTTTTCGGAGTGGGGTGGGTGGGACCCCGCAAAATGATCCCCCTGATGCACATGATGTTTCCTTGACAGGGTCTAAAACACCGTATATAAAAGGTGATGTCGTCCTCTGATAAGCTACGTATGCTCCACAAGAGGGCCCTTCAAAGTGAGCTTTTTTAGGTTCGCATGTGTTGTGTAACTCTGCTCCAGCTTTTGCTAGGCTTCGGAATCGAGTGTCCATATTCAATGCATCATCCAAAAGATTGCATCGAAACCCTAGCCCAAACCTCTTTGCTTCTTTACTTGCATCCAAATAACACAATCCCGATCTTACGGAATCGCTCAAGCTAGTCTGCGTATCCCGAAACCGAATAAACACACATCCGTGCCCAGGCAGTTTCCGTGGCTTGGTGGATGCAACACTACGGCAGCCCATCTCCAAAACACAGCAAAGGCTGGTCAAACAATCCAGTGATTCGGCGCTTGGACAAGGGTCGCCTATCCCGACGACATATCCAGAAAACTAAGAAGGTTCTAGTGGTGCGATCCCAAAATGCTGCCGGACAAAAGACGTGGCGTGGAAACCGGAATCTCAAAGCCAGTCAGCCCAGCCCTCAATACTGAGTTCATGTACAGTTGCAATCGTACAGAAGCAGAACCCCTCTAGTGATTTCTATGTTCTGAATTTGTTTCAGGGCATATCCTCTACGCTTTGGAAAAGAAGTTCGAGATTTGCTACCTCTTCTACTGACCGAAGGACGAGGCAAGCCCGATCCACCCCCTCCTGAGTTCAGTGGCCTCAGCTGGCTTGTGTCGGCCGACGATTGCCTGGACTGCTGGCCGGAGGCAAGACTGTCTGAGGTGGTGCATTATCTAAGGGGGTCGAAGCTTCTGAACCTTCCGCCTCACTGGAAAGAAGCTTTTCCCAAGCGAGCCTAAGGGTTCGGAGTTTAGAGTGCAGTTGAAATTAGCGCCTATGGCTGCTTCAGCAGACACATCAGCCCTAGAAACATAGGGTTTGGGGCTGTTTTGCTTCTGTTTTGATATGGTTGGGGCAGTTTTGGGTGCTTTTGTATAATAGGTAGGGAAGTGAGACCCGTTCGGTACCCGTTCGATAATCGTCCATGTTGTTCGGTGATCGTACTAATGTCGTTCAATAGGCGTTTTCATGCAACCCGTTCATAACCCGTTCAAAACCCGACCCCGTTCTTAAACCGTTCTTAACCCGTTTGCGCCACGTTCGAAGGCGTTCCAAGCCGTTCGTATGAACGACTTATAGGTGTTCAAGTTGCGTTCATAGGTCGCCTTTTCTATTATCTCCGAATGGTATATAAATGCTCCTTACAACGCGGATTTGGTAGTTTGGGCTACTCTCTCCTGGTTTTATGGGCTAAAATCTGCTGGAGTGGTGTGCTTCCTGAGCAAACTTATGGTGGATGCATGGAAAAGGTTGTCTTTGCTGCTTCTGTCCATTCTGATTATGCATGAGTGCATGTTGTGCAAGCACAACACACGGCGAGGTCCTCTCAAGGATCAGCTTTTTCATAGAATCATGTGTGATCGCAGCCCTGATTTCGAAAGGGCTAGGACTCTGCAGAGCCGTGCCTGGAGTGGCACGGAGCTTGAAGCTGGTGCCGAGTACCTGGCCGCATCGAGCGGTATCATGAGATCTATGAATCACATGTCTCGCGAACAGCTCATGCAGCGTTTACAGGACCGAAGCTCGTGTGCGTCAGGGAAGACCGTGCGTTTTAGTTCGGGTTTTGTCTGGTTTCTGTTTGGGTGAGGAGGCAGAAGCTGCTTTGAAACAGATGCCCAAGCCCGACCCCGAGATCAAACACGAAATTTCAGAATCCAGTCTGCAATGTCAGCAGCAAACAATGCTCAAACTATAGCAATCCCTGCGTGTTCATCTGTGTACATCTGAGGTTGCACATGTGGCCCTGCCCGTGCCACATGAAGCTGTCGCCCGGTTGTCAAGATGTGCATGTGTCATCTTTATACTCCTGTAGGCACGGTGTCCACTGCATGTACAAAGACCGCTTACACATGTCAGGTGCCTTCTTCAGACATGGCTGAGGAGACTCGAAATGACGAGTCCTTCGACGACGACGACGACGACGACGAGGTCTGCTGCCTCGAGGCTGATCCTTATGGGTCTGCTGCTGCGGGTGAGTTCACAGCAGCTCGTTTGTGACATAATGTGGCCGCTATACTTTCGGAGCTCGGAGACAATCTAAACTTGGGTGCGACCTAGGCTGCTGATGCTACGCTGCGGAAGAGGCTTTCAGCCGCCTTTGAAGAGGTGGCCACACCCTCGCCTGGACGATCCACGACCACCCCTCCAACCCGCCACGCGCAGTTTCCGAAGTTCACCCCGAGCGCAGAGAAGCCCACTCGGCCAAAGGCAAACCCCCCTCCAGAGTCGGAGATCTTGAAACTTCAGCTGCAGCAAATGCAGGAAGCCATGCAAGCGCAAAGTCTGCTGCTAGCGCAACTCACGCAACAAACAGCTGCAGCCGGCACTGCCAGCGCAACAAACGGAACCCCGGAACCGTCCCAGCCAAGCCCAGCCAAGGCCCAGCCGAAAGCTGCCGCAGCTCCGAAGAGCACTCCTAAGAAAAAGGCAAGCCCCGCGAAGGCCACTGCAAAGCAGCAGGGAAAGGAAGCAAATGCCGATGATGAGGGCAGCGCGACAATCGTCACTCCGGACGGGACCCCTGCCACTACACTGTAATTTTTTTTGTATGTGGGTCAAAGTCTTCGATCACTTCAATAAATGAGCCAGGTGATCTCACAGGATGCGCTCCGCATGAGGTTGAAGAGGTTATGTGAGAAGAAGAAGACGGGACGTTGTTGGGTCCCGGCTTCCATCCGCGAAGAGTTCGAGTCTGGCGGTGAATATCGCGAGGTGTTAGAACTGGCGCTGCTAGAATCTATCAAACAATTGGGCGAAGAGGAGAGCAAGAACCACGGCAAGATGAAGGCATGGGTCGATGCACATTAAATTGGTAAAGACGCACTAGTTGCACACAGGCTCTATAGCATGTTGGACTGTCATCCGCCAGGCCACTTTCTTGATGCGGGTCACGCACGTCAAAGAAAGGATGGTGGCCAAAGAGCAAGAGATAACGGGCCGCTGGCTGACACAGGAACGCATGAAGACCGAGCTCAAGTGGCCCAAGCTATTCGGCTCGTCTTGCGGGGAATGCATGTGTGCAATAACATGAACCTCACCTCCCAACAAAAACCTGCAGCTAAGGTCGGACATACTTCAGGTGATTGAGTACTGCAAGCGATTTCCGAACACGCTCATTCGGTGGCACGGCATTAGATATGTGTTGCTTGGGACATGTCGGTTGGTGCGATGTCGATACCTCGACCAAGCTAAGTCCTTGGAAGTATAACACTGCCGTCAGTGAGTACTTCGTGGAGACGGAGGAGACATCGAAGATACGACGTTCCGATTTGGACAAGCAAATCCGTGCTAGCGAGGAGGCCTCTTTATTGAATAACCAACCCCAACACATTAGTTCGACTCCCTCTTAAAAACAAACCTCCTTTTACAGAATCTTTATAGACAGGCCGGCGACTCGACCGGGCACCTCGCGCTCCGGGACTTGGACGCTCCTCTCGGCCTGGGCATGGAGGGCGAGGGCGGTGCTGCGCCAGAGCAGTCGGCAAGTGGTGACGTTGTCAAGGTGTGTTTGCCGGTGCCTGTGTATATGTAGATGTATACATGTGTGTGTGTGTGTGTGTGTGTGTCTGTGTGCCTGGGGAGTGGGCGGGCGGTCTGTTACTTCGTTAACTAGGCAGCTAGGTGGCTCAGCCTACAAGCCCCGAAATCCATAAACCCTAAACTATAAAAAACCATAAACCCTGTAGTGCTCTATGCGACTGCACATGCAGGTCAAATCCGAGATCAAGCGCTACCTCACGCAGGTTAGTGGTAAAATCGATTCCATTGTCAAGATGATGGGCCAGCTTGTACCACCGTACAACCCCGATCCCAACGATCAAACCGAAGAGCTCCCAAACGGCAAGTAAGCGGCAAGCGTCAGAATGATCTGTACTGTGTGCCTATTCCTGTGAATCTGAGATCCAAGGCTTCAAGACGAGTTTAAGGCCATGAGGAAGGAGCTCGAGGTGCAACACGGCAAGCTTGCTTGCCTAGCCGGGTCTTTGGAGATGGAGGATGTGGATGACACGGGGCTCCAAAAGTGCCTTCGGCGCTCTAGTTTCACTGACATACCAATGTCGTTTGTTGGGGACTTGTGCAAGCTGGCTGCAACCTATCCAAGGGCAAAGCTGGACTTCGTTGCTCTGCGGGAGGCTGTTTCAAAGCCGTGTCTTGGGTGCATCCGAGTTACTCGACTGCTTGTCTCTGTTGTGCAAAGGTACAGTGGGAATCTTAGGTGTGCCGAAATGGTTGCCAAAGAGAGTCGGTTCAAGCACCTTGGACCTTATTATCCTTAGCTCGCCTATCGTACATAAAAGCGGCAAATTCTGCGTGTACATACAAATCCTCCCAATCTCAGAGTACACTCACCACGTAGACCATCAACCCCACACGAGCATGGTAGGTATGTCATGTTATGCGGATCAGTATACCTATTTAACAACCTACGTGGGGCCCGATACCAACAGCATTGCATTCCTAGGTGAGCCGTGTGTTGTATGGGGGAGTTCTATCGGCGTAGAACGACCTACTCCTACAAAGGCAAAATATGTGTATCGTAATTTTATCTCTACCATGTCTAGTTTTGTAACTTATATACATGCACTCATAAAAACGCACATATATACATACTATGCACACACACACACACGCCTTGCACAAGGCTACTATACAAGACTACGTGGTGTCACCATCACCCGAGGACGATGCTCAAGCACATCAATGTGGCTCGCAAATGTGAAGATGCCAAGGCTAAGCCGCCGCCGCCCGCCAAGCAGGCTAAGCCGGGCAAGCGCGGTCGAAAAGGTAAGGCTGCTGTTGCAGACGCAGAAGCGTCCGTGACCCCGCAAAGGCGGGTTCGTCGCAAGGGCAAGCCCTGATGATGGATGCACAATCTTAATGAATAAGTCTTGTAATTCCTATCCGGCTGTCTTAATAGTTATACATATATAGGCATAGGAGTTCAAGTTTGTGTATGGTGCTCTCCACTGTAGCAGCCATCCGGGGTAGTCGACGATGCTTCGTGTGCATCTTTCTTTCACTCAGCGCTGCATGTGAACAGACACGTGAGTGCGCCCTCTGAATTATCCAAGTGATGTTATCCGGCCGATGTGTCCTGCGACGCAGGCTACGTGCATTGACTTGGGGAGTCTTCTAAAGACGACGCAGAGAAAAGTCTTCCCGACTTTCAGGTATATAGGCTATCTTTATTACATCAGGTACAACCTCCTTCCAAGATGAGCAGACCCATTAGTCCGAAGATACCCTTCGCTAAGATCAAGCCATTTCGAGCTACATCCCAAAAATCTATTGGCCATGCCCGTGTCTGTTCAGTATTCGCGAAAGCAGCCACTATATTGACCTTGTATACTATATTGACCTTATTGTACTTTTATTAACCGCAGCAACGACCCCGCAATACGTGCCAGGTGTGTCTTCGACTGCGCGATCGCTCCTCGCTGATGTTGGTCGCGGTGGCCATGCGAAGAAAGCTGTAGCCACCTCGAAGAGAGTGGTTGAGGATTTCGGTTCGGATGCGCTGAGCTGCCCCGTTCTCTCATCACTCAGCAGAGCTTCTGAAAGCAAAGCCGTGGCTTCTGTTTGATTGATTAACTTTCGTCATGTGTACGACTTAAAACTGGGTTGGTTTGTGTAAGTAAGATTGGTAACCCAAACCCGCACCCCTATACAACACTTAGGAAGAGAAAGTTCATCGTGTGGCCGGAAAAACTGGGTTACGACTACAGCTTCCGATACGCTATTTCACGATCCTCAGACACGCTCGAAAGGTCAAACAGAAACGGAAGAAGGTTCAATCCAAATCCAGGGCCAAGGCGAAGGCGAGATGTTGCACGTTGGTGGCAGAGCCTCTCAAAGAGATACCGGAGGCTTCATTTGATCATCCAATGATTCGAGCTACTGACTTCATACATTTCATCGATGAGCAAAACTTCTGGACCAGGCTTTTCGGGCAAAGCAGCTTTTCTGTCGGTTGCCAAATGATGGCCGATTTCTGGGCTCGCTACAGAATCATCTTCCCGGACTACGAGCTTTTTCAGAGATCAGATCGTAATGAGGTTGACTTAAGCCGGTGCCTGCCATGCCTCATTCATGGCGACGAAGGTACATATTTCAAGCGGTCTGGGATAATGATAATGCAGTGGCAAAGCGTATTTGGAAAGGGTACGAGCTTGCTGGGCCGGGAAGCCTTTGCTGATCGCTTGGTTGGCGAAAGCAACGCAAAAGCTTTTGTTAATCAACGAGGAGTTACTCTCACAACCCGTTTTCTTCTGGGTGTTCTCCCTAAGGACCTGCCTGCTGTAAGACGTGTCTTTGCCGAGTCACGCAAAGTGTTTACAAGCGCCTTGAAAATTCTATCCCAGGAGGACTACGCCCAGACCCCGGAGGTGCTGGACCAGTTCTTTGCACATATCGTCGACGACCTCCAGTCTGCTCAGCTTCAAGGGGTTATCCTTAGGGATGGGCGTCCCTTATGGCTCAACCCAATCGGGGTAAAGGGCGATTGGCCCTTCCTGGAACCTTGTCATCAGTTGTGTACTTATATTGTTACTGATGAGCAGCGCAAAGCCAAATCCCAGTCAGCCTATGTATCCTCGTAATCAAGCCTTGGTCTTGTAAGTCCTGTAGAAGCCCCGTAAGCCTTGGCCTAGCCTTACGTAACCCAAACCTGCAGCAACCCTCCCAATCCGAATCCAAGGCTTCGGCCGGAAAGCTCCAGCGCACCTTCCGCCAGGGTCCCAAGGCGGCCTCATCTTCAAAGCCGGGCAAGGGCTTGTGTCATTATTGTTTGGCAGGAAGGGAAGGATATGACTGGGAAGATATGATTTTCAGCTGCACTTTCATGTCGAAGCTTTTTTGACGTCGGCATATTAAAGAGGCTATCGCTCTTCTGCTGTAATATGGGAGCAACACAATCAAAGGTCAGCCTGGCCGGACTTTATGGACACCATGGAGGAGGAACTACCATGGACAACCCCATCAGTCTTTACGACAAGGCTCCTGCAACACACCGGGCATTTGGCCCACTTCTATAGAAGCGACCCATGGCACGCTGTAAATTTGGGTGTCGGCAAGAGCTGGGGTGCCTCAGCCCTGGTTTTGCTTCTCGAGAACTTCTTTGTCGAAGGGTCTTTGGAGCAGCGAATGGAGCAACTCAGCTTTGCATACATGGACTTCTGCAAGACATCAGTTGCTCAGCTCATACAATATAGAGGGTCCTAGCACGTTTGGGGTTTCTGTGTGGAGACTACTCGAAACAATACGGTATATATCGGTATATTATTTCGTGACAGACCGTATACTGGTCTAAGGACCCTCCCAAGGTTTCCTACATTCGGGCTTTCTCAAAATCTATTCTGGGCTGGAAGAAGATCGGCACGACGCTTGAAGGGTCTTGGACGAAGGGGGCCTTGACAGTTACGATCCTGCAGTTCATAGATGCGTATTGCCAAAAAAGGAACCTAGAACACTGCGCAGACGAGCGACTGAGACTTGTTGCTCCTACACAGAGACAAGCAATGTGTGTGCATGGTTTGTGTGAGACTTGTTCTTTCTGGTTGCATGAACTCGTTGGCAACGAACCATCTTGAGGCAAGTGGGAGCAGAGCGCTCAATGCGTTCATGAAACTCCTCTATTGCAGCGATTTTTGGCTAACTGGCACTCGGTGTGCTGATGTGATTTCTGCTGGTGAACATTTCCTCGCTGCATCAGCTCGGGTGGCGAAGCTCACTCTCGAGAAGGGGGAAAGTCGATTCGCAATAACACCAAAATTTCACATGTTGTTTCACATCGTGAAGCATGTGGCATGGCAATTCGACACGACAACATTCGCCATGAACCCGATAGTGGAGTCGTGTGCAATGGACGAGGATCATGTCGGCAGGGTTGCACGGTTGGCTCGCTCAGTCAGCGCTCGTGGTGCATCCACACGAACTTTGCAGCGGTATCTGCTGCAGCTTCAGGAAGTCTGGCACTTGCAGGAAGTCGACTGAGCGCTCGGCCGGAAAAGTGCCGAGGAAGAGGTGGATGCAGGGCGATCTTTCGTTAGATAGAAGGGCTTCTGTTGCATTGTGTTATACAGGGTTGGTGAATCAATCTACTTAGACATCATCGGATGACGGGAAGATTGTGCAAAAACTACTCGAGCAGCTGCTGAGCTTGGACAATCATGTGATCTCTTAATCTCACCACCACCTGTAGTCTCCATTGTAGTTCCTTTTTGGGGATACCTTATAAATTCCTTGATATATAATTGGTTAAACCAAAAAAAGGAACTACAATGGAGACTATAGGCAGAACTCAATCCAGGCAGAAACAAGGCCCGATCCGCAATTGCTGTAATCCCCGTTCGTTTGTGCTTATGCCCGTTCGGGCCTTCACATCAATATGAGATTGCGGTAACTATCTCGGGGCGTTGTTTTCGGAAGTCCCCAGGTGTAGCAGGTAAAACCAATTAAATCTACGGCTCGGCCTCTCAGCCTCATAAATGAAACGCCCTCGGCCAGAAGGCTTAGAACCCGAAAAGCTTCAGCCTAATATAGGGGCCTCAACAATTACCTACATCATTTTGGGAGGTTCCTTGTTATAATTATACTATATCAAAGAACCCTAATTAAGTATTCTAACTACTAGGCATTCTAATTATGAAGGCTCCTACATGAAACAAAACTGCGAAATGCAAGTGGGCGAAGCTGTTGGTTCCCGGCTGTGTGTATCGCTCCTGACACGCGAAGCATGAAACGTGCCTCGCTTGGAGGAGAGGCCCAGTGTGAGCGGCGAGATGTGTAGGGCTTAGGGTTTAGGATCCCTAAACCCTAAACCCTAAACCCTAAACCCTGCCTTGTGCCAGCGTGCGAGTCGAAGCCCCAAACCCTCGAGCACGAAGCCCTGGGTTGTAGTCCCTGGGTCCAGGTTTTGGGTTCAGGCTCAGGGACCCTTTAATGTAAGCAGAGACCGCCGCAAACCCTAGAAGCCCTCACCGAAACCTGCGGCAATGCTGTGAGGATCGGGAATCCAGGAAGCTATCCAGGAAGCTGGGCAGCTCACTTGCATCCCAGGACTTCTCTGAAATTTCCCTGTATACAAGGGTGCCAATTCGTAAGGCCCTCATCTTAGGATTTGAGATTAATGTTTTGTTTTACATGATTGTAGCCCACCGTCTAGGCCCGAAATCGTAGATGATGTAAAGCCTAAGCCCTGAACCCTAAAGCCTAAACCCTGAACCCTACACCCTGAACCCTAAAGCCTAAACCCCAAACCTTGAACCCTGAACCCTAAAGGCTAAACCCTGAACCCTAAACCCTGAACCCCAAAGCCTAAACCCGAACTGTCCAGCTCCGCTGGAATTGCTTCTCTTGCCTGCGCAGGCTTGTACCCCGGTTCAGGGTTTAGAGTTCAGGGTTTTGGGTTTAGGGTTTTTGGTCCAGGGTTTAGGGTTTAGATCAGGGTTTTTGGTTTAGCCTGCTGCAAAACGGAACTCTACGAACAAGCCTGAAAAGCTTATACAGATTTAGAGAGAAATTGGATTCTGTACTTCCTCATTTGTACTCTTATCTTTTTAGTTGTTCATATTGTTTACTCGAAGTGTGACTTTAATTATGCTATTGATCTTAGTGCTGAGATGTAAGACTCCATCGCTAAGAATCCGGAATCGTACAGAGCGAAGCCCTGCAGTCCCTTTGTCCCAGCATTGCCCTCCCGATCAAAAACCGATTTTCCTGGGGTCCTGGAGCCGTAATCCTCTTTTACCCTAAATCTAATCAATCCTCAACCTCATATGTTTGGAGCCCTCAACCCTAAACTGAACTCTAGATGGGCAGTTCTCCAAATTAGGGTCCCTTTTGAGGTCCCCAATATAATACGGCACCCTTATAAAAAGGACCCTAAAAGGGACCCTAATTTAGAGAACGATCCTTCTTCCTGGAGCTCTGAGACTCTGAGGTATCCACCTACTAGACATCGAGCGGCTTCGCCGCCTCTTCGACATCTACGATGTGGCAGCTTGGCCATGGCTGATCGAATTGTCAGTAGTAGTAGTAGTAGTAG